CGAGTAAATGCAATTACTTGGGTATGTTTTTCCTAGGAAACACCTATCTAGGTAAGTACATTTATCCATGTTATTTTATTTACTAAGTAAATAAGGTAATAATCATTTTATCCATAAAAATCCATTATTAAAAGGGACATTTTTGTCCCATTCAAGTGTTAACAACTTTCCTCTTACTTGGGAAAGTTATGTACCCACCTAGGAGATGGGTATCACTTATTTGGGTAAGTGATACCTAAGAAAATAAACTTTCCCTAATCCCTACATAAATCTGAAAAATGAACATGGATTCTTGGTCAACGGAAACCAAAATCCCATTGACCAATTCCACCCCCCCCCCCCCTTAAAATCCAAAAAAAAGAAAACCCCCTTAGTTCTTTTAAAGGTGGATTTCAAGATCCATTTATTTCATTGCCAAGTTTTGCATGTCTTGCCATCTTATTAACGATGATACCATTTCATTGAATCACTCTTCTAAAAACATCTCCCTTTTCAAAAAAATATATATATAAAATCTAAACTATTTCTCCAACAAACTACCTAAAGTCTCTCTTTCCCTCCCTCACTTTCTTCTATTAATTATCTTTTTGATAAATGTAATATATTCAAAACTAAGGATCTATTTGGTTTGAGGAAATATAGGTCTAAAATCGGAATGGCATTCCCTCATCCCCCTGTACTGGGAATGAGAATCCATTCCAACCAAGTCTGATTCCAATTCCATTTCCAGTCTGAACCAAACAAGTGAAGGGAATAAACCATTCTAATTCCAATTCCAAAGGATTATAATTATGACTGTAAACCAAATAGACCCTAATTATTATATCAAGTTGACCTAATTTACTTAATATATGTCAATTAAGTAAATTAGTAACTTATTAAATTTAACTTAATTAATCTAACATTATAAATTAATTAATCAGTTAAATTAACTTAGCCAACTTAAATTAACTAACAAAACCAAACTAACCTAATAAATATAACACAACTTAACTTAGGGCTTGTTCGTTTCCTTTTAACTCTTATCTCTTAAGAGGAAACTTTTAATTTTAAAAGAAAATTGAGTGTTTGTTTCCTTTTATCTCTTATTTCTTAAAGTGCAATTATACAATTTTTTATTTTCCAATGATATCCCAAAAAGATAATAAAAAACTCTCATATATAGGGTCAAAATAGATATTTGATAATTTTCAGAATTCAAAACAATATTCTCTGCATTCAGAGTTCAGAGGAAAGAAAAGTTCACCAATACCAATGTACATCTTAATATAATTATTGCATTTTCAGATGTTAGACTCCAAAACAAACGAACAGGCCTTTAGTTAGCTGGATATGCGCTAGGTATCTAGCCTCCCCAATTTGATTGGGTTGGGGATAGGGGCTGCTCTAGTGAAGACGAGGATGGGGATGAGGAATTATTAGGATACCTAATCAAGGATAGGAAGAAGATGGGGAGTGAAGTCCCCACAATTTAGATTACTGATTTTTCTTTTTTTAAGTAAGTAATTTCCCGAATCATAAAGCAAACTTTTCATTAAAAATGTAGGCCCCTAATCAAGAATTCCTCCCCATTGAGGATGGGGGTTCATTTTCCCCCTAGACA